CTGGACATGGCAGGGGGGAAGAGGCCGGCGGCAATCTGCAGGGGGAAACTCACGCCTACCAGAAATTGGAAGGAAATAAAAGCAATTAGAGTAAATCCAAGGCAAATCAAGGCTAAAGAGATGATTTCATGGTGGTTCCCTTACCAGAAAATCGGAAAAATCCCCACCCTCACCAAGCTGAAATCGGCAGCAGGGGAGGAAGAATAGAGCAGATCCTGGATTTTCTACAGAGGGGAAAGATTTCAAGCTCCTAAATCTTGTTCTTGAACAAGAAAAAAAAGGCAAAAATGAAGCTTCTTACCGGTTTCCTCAAGGGGAGGTACATCGGGGGCTTTCGGGAGTTGCAGGGGACGGGAAAGAAGAAGAAAAAGAGCAGAATCGTGTGGCTGAAGTAAGAAAGAAAGAAGAAAAAAAATCAGCCATCCTTATCCAAAATTTCCCTCTTTAAGTCCCTGAACTTTGAAATTTTGGCTATTAAGTCCAAAACAATATTTCCTCTCAAACGAGTCCTTAACTAAGTGCTAGAATTCCCGAAAATTTGAGATATTACATTCACCCCTCCTAAAAAGGAGTTTTGTCCCCAAAACTCAAATTGAGGATCATTTAGAGTAGCAAATGGCTTCACACAATCCAAGACAAAACAATTGCCTCACCAACTCTTTATGAACAAAACCTAGCCCACTACGCTTTCACTGCACCACTATGATATTAAACCAAAACTAATCTTAAAAAGTAGAATATTAATTACTTAACAGGGTTTACCATGAAAACAAGCTACTAGAGGCCGGGGTGACATGGGAAGCATAAGGAATAAAAATAAATCTTGCCAAAGCCACAAAAGAACAATTGTGGGGATTTAAACACGAGTACAACAAAACTTGAACTCTATCAAAGACGGATAAGCATCCAATGGATATATGGATCATGAATGAATGAACGAGTGCATGGATGCCTTATAACTTCTGCCACAACAAGGTTAACCAAGAGGTAAGATCATGTTTAACAAAACAACTGAAATCAAGAGATAGATTTTAGCAATTAACAAGAGTTAAAAGCTAGACCCATCAAATGACATGTGAAATTTCCAGAATAGCATCCGAATGAAATCAATGGAAAATATGAATGCTTGGAAGAATACTGGAATATAAGAGTATAAGGTAGAATGCCTCAAAGAATTCAGCAACAAAATGGCATTCACCTAGAGTCAAGATCAAATTTAACCAAGTAGTCAAAATTGAGAGACAAGAGTTAACCATGAAACAAGCAATAGAATTCAAGGATTAGGCCCACAAAAGAGATTTCGATAATGACAACCAAAACACGAATTCAAGAGCGGATATAACCAAGATGTCAAGATTTAGCACCCCAAGTAACACGAATTAATTAACAGAACAAAACACTAGGGCATCAGGTACTTCAAAGACTACTCCTTCACCTCATAGCCCATGGAGGCTAAGCAAATTTACAATCAAGTCATCCTAGACATCCTAGAGTCAAGTCAAAGCTAAGACATCAAGAATACAGAGATGAATACTTGCATGAGACAAGAATGAGGATGCCTCATATAGTTATTTCCTAATAATCATCACCCCTCCTAAAGAGGTGTCCATATGAACATAATAAAAAAAAAATCAAGAAGATCAACAGGTATACTGAAACAAGAACTAGTAGAATATACGAAATTTGAGCAAAAGCAATATATAGAATTTGAGCAAGAACCAGTGTCAGAACAAGAATGTTTTCAAGGACAACTCAAACCAGATTCCAAAAACCAAATATCAATTGATTTTCAAGAAAAGGATGCTAACATGACTTTACTTTAGGCAAGGTTCAAGATAAGATTCCAAGAACAATGCAAGAATTAATTTCAGACAAATATCAAGATAATAATGATTTCAATAATCATTATCCATTTCCTTTGGATTTCAGTTTCAAGAACAAGTACAAAGCAATCTCAAGAAAGATTCAAGATGGATTTCAAGAGTTTCAAGCAATTTCCAAGTATCACGAATGTAGAGATTGGCAACAATAAAGAGTTTAACTTTATGACAACTTGCCAATCTTCACAAAAACAAAGCAATTTCAATTGAATTGATCATTGTTTTTGATTAATCAATATAGCAAAATAAGCCACATGAAAAGACTAGGAAGCTCCAAATGAAAAAAGTGAAACTTCACTATAAGACTTTTAGAAAGATAATGAGCAGCGAAATTACCAAGTTATCTAACTCCTAATACGCATCTAGAAAACACACAACATTTGCTAAAATAGCCTTGAATCTCTTTCAAAGTAGAAGGTTGCCCATCTTCCACTGGTCATGTGACAAACAGAATAAATTTCTCAACCAGCTATATTGTAGAGACCAACGGGATCAATAACAAAAGATCTCTGCAACTCCCCAGATTTTACAATTGTAGCAAAAGAGCATACAAAAATTCTATTTACGTAACAAGTCTAAACAAATGTAGACTATCAGAAAATGACCAAGTTTCAAAACAAGGTCTTAAGCACATGGCAGACAAGATTAATTTCATGAATCTACACAGGGTATGAAGGCAGGAAACAAGAACAATCAAATTACCATCTCATCAAAATGGATTAGAAAATTCAGGTAACATGAATCAAAATCGTCCCTCATATAACCCCATCACTCATCTCACCACGATTCTAAAATCCACTAGCTAGCCAAGTCCAAAACAAATCCTAGGTATTCAAATAAATCTAGGTATTTAATTAAATTTAAGCTTTGATACCACTCAATCTGGAGGTGCTTAATTTAATCCTAAGCTCTTAATTTAAACCTAAACTCTGATACCACTCAATCTGTCATGCCTCAGAACCCAAATCTGAGGACGTGGCAGACGTCGTGCACTCGTGAAAAGGTCTCACAAATGCACAAGGCTCGAAACTTATCATATCACAATCTGATACCACCAAAATCTCAAGGTCAAATCTCTTGTAACTAACAATCCATTCAATAAATTTATAAAATCTCCAATTAAAATCCAGTTTACAAGATCATGATCTATATCTAAAATCTATATCAATCTCGAAATGGCTAGTCTTCTAACTCGTCACTTCCCGTGGTTTCCCCGTCCTTGACTTCGTTTTCTGAAATGGTGGACAAGGAAAACTATGAGATAAACTCAGTAAGTAAAATATGGAGTGCCCTTATTAAACTTATAGCATGCCAACAAGTGTAATCACGAAAAACGATTACAGTGCGAGAACGAAATAGATGTCTCCTCTATAGGTCATGGCCAGTGTTATAAACCTCCCACTGGCAGGCTACAATATTTGCTAGTGTATAATCCCCACTAGCAGGGTCACTCGTACGAACCGGTTCTATCAATAACATGTCAACATGTGCTAGCGTTTAACCCCCACTAGCAGGGTCATTAATAACATAACCACATCGGAGACAAAATAGGCAGAAGTTAATAGAAAAATCATAATTCACCAATCACTTTCAAATCATCAGGACAATCAATTACATTTCAAGTAGGCATGCCCAATTTAATGAAAAGCATAAAAATTTCACTGAAAAGCATAAAAATTTCACTTCAAATCAGTCATACTTACTTTTGCGTAAAACGGGTTTAGTCCCGCTACTACTTAAAAAACAAGTCAAAACATGCTTTTAAAAACTGTACGGGTATTACCATAAATTTACTTACCTCACTCGCATAAACCGAAGACTAAATCTCAGTGCTAAACTGATAGAATGATCAAGAACCTAATCAAAATACTCCAGAATTAATACTGTAATATCACAAATTCAAGGTGAAACTTCATTAGGATCACCTCTAATCACGATGCTATTTCTATTAATCTCCACATGACCAGACATCTCCAAATTTGTTCTTATATCACAAACTAAACATTTAAATCTCCGTTAATTGTTGACCCTCGCTGTGTGAACAGTGCCCGTGAACAGTAACTGCACTTCCAAAAATTAGCCAAAACACTAGCTAATTCACGTGATTTTTCTCTCCAAAAATCACAACAGCTAATTAACTAATTTTCTACATGAATTAAGCAACAAAACACACTTAAAATGCTCTAATTGCTACCGGAATTCATCCCCCTAATTCAACAAAATTTGGACAGCACATGAGGCATCAATTTATCAACCAATTTTCAAGAATTAGAGAAGCCAACCGACCAGAATTTTCCAGCTGCAGAACTGGACATGGCAGGGGGGAAGAGGCCGGCGGCAATCTGCAGGGGGAAACTCACGCCTACCAGAAATTGGAAGGAAATAAAAGCAATTAGAGTAAACCCAAGGCAAATCAAGGCTAAAGAGATGATTTCAGGTGGTTGCCTTACCAGAAAACCGGAAAAATCCCCACCCTCACCAAGCTGAAATCGGCAGCAGGGGAGGAAGAACAGAGCAGATCCTGGATTTTCTACAGAGGGGAAAGATTTCAAGCTCCTAAATCTTGTTCTTGAACAAGAAAAAAAAGGCAAAAACCAAGCTTCTTACCGGTTTCCTCAAGGGGAGGTGCGTCGGGGGCTTTCGGGAGTTGCAGGGGACTGGAAAGAAGAAGAAAAAGAGCAGAATCGGGTGGCTGAAGAAAGAAGAAAGAAGAAAAAAAATCAGCCATCCTTATTCAAAATTTCCCTCTTTAAGTCCCTCAACTTTGAAATTTTGGCTATTAAGCCCAAAACAATATTTCCTCTCAAACGAGTCCTTAACTAAGTGCTAGAATTCCCGAAAATTTAGGATATTACATAATTAGAGGTAATTTTCTCATATTTATTAACTCATCTTACTTGTATATCATATGACTTAAACTCAAACCTAAAGTTATCAATACTGTACCAGCATGCGTACTGATTTTGCTATTAGTACGGTATGTATTGTATGTTGAATAATATCGTGTACTTAGATTTACTACTATAAATATATATTTTTATAAATTAAATATAAACTTTTATAACCAATAAATATAAACAAACATCACAATATTTATATAGTATTAAAAAGAGAATAAACCACAATTAATTTGTCATAATAAGTGAACTTAAATCCACTATGTGTGACCCACCTCCCATTTATCTTGTGGAAGACCAAAATTCCTCCAATGCTTTCATGTTACAGTATTTTCTTCTTCTAACCTTTAACAATCTAAAGCATACTACTTCTCTCCTCTCTCTTTAAAACTTTTACTTTTCTCACTTAATGTTTCAAGAAAACTTTGTATTTGTTATTTAAGAGGTTCTTGCCATTTTTAAAATTTGTTTTGGTTACCATTTCTTTCATGATCTATATTATTAGGCTTAAAAGAGAATCCACATTTTTCAAGTTTTCTTTTCATTTTCTTGTCTTATTTACGTATAACTAAAACTATATTTTAGGTTGTATTTCGAATTTAAGCTTTTTTTTCCCATTTTTTTAATTTTTTTATTTGTATGTTGTTTATGTGTATCAACTAGTACACCAAATTTTAGCAGGTACAACCTTTACAATTGGTATTTGATTGGTATAGTTGATATTTGATTTAATACAGCTTTTAAAATATAATATACTAATTTTACTTTTAGAGCCTGTTTAGTATAATGGTTAAAATTTAACAATAACGAGTAGCAAGTAATGAATATTGGGTAGCAAATAATGGATAATGGAGAATAGATAATGGATAGTGAGTAGGGGGTGGTAGAAATTATAATTAAAGGTATTGTTTTCTTTTTATATTTTTCATTATTAAAATTATTAATTTTTACAAAATAATAATTAATAAATAAATTATAATAGTGTAACATAAATTAATTTTTATTTTTAATAAAGAAAAAATTATATTAGTTTTAAATAAAGTAC